CCTACTCTTTCCTAATATATTCTACAGATGCAAAGTTCAGCTAATTTGTCATATTTTTATAAACATTCACTTCAATACAACTTCCTATGGATGTTTCATAAAGTGTAAGATGCTTTTTAAAAACACAGATTTCCAACTGCAGAAATTTGTGCAGACCAAATCAACTGAATCAGAAACAGAGGGTGGAGCCTTTTGCATTTTAAAAAGCTTCTCAGGGGAGTCTGATGCACTTCAAACCATAGAACTCTACTCTGGCTGGGAGATCACAAAGACAATGTAAAGAGAGGCAATCTATAAACATATATAATGTAGCAGAGTAAGTCACACACAGGTATAAAATGATTAGCAGTAGAAGGCAGGAAAGTACTAAAAATACAGATTATAAAATTTTAATGAAATGTCTTATGTAGCATCCATGACTTATTGAGGAATAAGAACAATAGAAAGTAAAGTACACTTTATTGATACCTGCTAATAATTTAACTCTTAGAGGTAAAGGTCACCCTAGGAAAAACTCCTGCATATCGTTCCCTTTCTAAGTTATAACGACTACAAGTAGGGTGGTGTGAATAATGGGCTGCTCCATTTACTAAAGTTATCTGTCATTTATCATCATCTATTTAAATAAATGACTAATATAGAGGGCTGCTGCAGAATTTTTTATAACAAGAAAGCCATTTTCAATTCTTGCTTTAAATGTTTATCAGCCAACGTCATCCTAAATTCATTGAGAATTTTTCTCTTCCTTCAACCTAAAATGCCCTTTCTCAGCACTTGTGCACTTTAATTTTCTAAGTATACAGTAATGTTAAATTGGCTAAATATATATGTTATTATACTAGGTATTAGTCTCTGACTCTTGACAATAAATGCAAATATACATTTCTTACAAATCAAATGACCAACTTGTAAAATTAGTAATCCATGAATTCTTCATATGTATATCTATCTTATAATGGTCACAAGTAACTACGTTGGGTAGTAGAAGATGTATTGCATAAAATAGGTCATTAAAAGATGGTTAATACATATATTTTTTAATTAAAATAATTTGAGAAGAGTGCAGACTTATTATCAGGTTTCTAGAGTTTGGGTTCTATTACATCCCTATGGAATATCCTATATTTGAAATAGTTTTGACCTTTGTTCAAGGCAGTATGGAATAACAGATAGAAGTCAGGATTGCCATCAGAGGATATGGGTTACAATCCTGCTTCTACAATTATTAACTGTGATTTGGGGATTAGAGTTTTGTTTTGTTTTTTTTTCATTTGACAATAAAAGTTACTATCAGTAGATGCCTAAAATGTGGCAGAAACATTCTTAAGTGTTTTATAGGCTTTATGTCATTTAATCCTCATAATAACATACTTCATCATTCCTATTCTATAGAAGAGGAAATTGAGACTCAAGGAGTTGTGCAATGTTTTTCCAAGTCAGATATCTCGTCAGTGATACTTAGAAGATAAACTCCATTTTACCTGCCTCCAAGGCTTATGGAATTTGGAATTAGTCACATAAAATATTCCCTCTCAAAGAGTCATGAAATAAGGAAAATATATATCATATATTAGTTTTCTTTTAGAATTCACAATACATGATATAAATGATATAAATGTTAGTTATTGTTACGAGGGCAGGTAGGTTAAGAATGTAGGGAATGTACAGGATGCATCAGCTTGTATACCAAACAATTCCAAAGCATGATAGGTTAAATATAGTCTTTTATTTAGCTCATGATTCTGTGTGTCAGTGCATTTGGGCTAGGTTCAGCTGGATAGCTATTCTGAACACATGCACGAGAGCAAGATAGTTGTACTTTTGGAGATTAACTGGCTGTTATCTAGGAGCAGAGATGAAAAGTTTTAGCTGTTGGGGAGCACTTTATTTCTTTTTAAAATCCTTGCTCTATTATGTCCTCTGACTTGTTTCTTAATACTATTTCTTTTTGTACCAAGAGGGGTGCATGTGTGTATGTGTGTGTGTGTGTGTGTGTGTGTGTGTGTGTGTGTGTTTGTGTATGTGAAAGAGAGAGAGAGGCGGGGGAGAGAGAGAGAGAGAGAGGTTTCATCATCAAGCAGAGCAGCTAAGGCTTGTTCTCTCCAGGGTAGACTTCCAAAAAAGAGAGAAAGCAGAAGCACACAAGACCTTTTAAAGTCCAGGATTTGAAATTGTATAATATCACTTCCCTTTATTCTATTGGCCAAAGCAAGTTACACAGGCAGTAGAGAGTCATGGGCTGGAGAAAGACTTGGTGGGAGGAAGATGCAAAGTCACTTTATAAAGGGTCATATAATAGGGAGGAATGGGAAATTATGGCCTTTTTTTAAACTACTGTAGAGTAATTTTGTCTATAAATATGTTGCTTTTTGAAAGTAAAGAATATTTTTAAAATCTTTATTATACTGGACTTTAAAAGAGTTTTTGTTCAAATGTTAAACTTACAAGTATGTCATTCTGACATTTACAATGTGGCTTCATGAGATCAATCCACATTTCTGGTGGTGATGTAGTGCTAGGTTTCTGTAGCTTTCTGTGATGCTGACTCAAGGATATAAAGGAAGTAGCATTTCACCTGCTTTCCTTCAAGGGGAAATGTCCACAGGGTCTTTTACATCCTTGTTCTACACAGACCAACAAAGAAAACCACGACAGTTTTTTCCTCTTCGGTATTCCATTGCTCTTTCAAAGATTTACTTTCTTTTTTACTTTTGTCTTTTACAGGACCAGCGGAATTAGCTAGAGGGGTTTTCTGTTCTTTCCTATCTTATATAATTAAGGTTGGATATTTGTCTTAGGATCTTCCCCTCTTATATTGACCAGAAAAAAAATAAAAGAGACTATTTCTTCATTGTTTAATCAAATCTCCAGTGATATGTAATCTCATCCTTTTATCTCTCACATTCTTATTTTCCAACTTATCTGGTATGTTCTCTAATTTCACATCTAATCTTCTATGAATCACAAGAAAAGTCTGAATTCTTCTAAAAGATGATCCTCTTGTCAATGTGATTATTTCTAGATAGCTTATATAAGTTTAGACTCAAACTGATTCATTACATCTTTTTCTCATCCCCCCGCCCCTCCATGAATCCTTTGTATTTCTTTCCCCCTTATTTTTGATTTCTCTATAAATCTTTAATAATACAATTTTAATATTATCAAATTGAAGGTTTTTATTATTGGTCCTGCCATCTGTATGAGTTATCTTTCTAGACGCCTTGTAATTTAATGTGAATATTTCCTCCATTTAAATTAAAAGGAGTAATTTATGTAGCATTTTGCACATAGTAAGATCTCAGTAAATGTTATCTATTATTATAAATGCTTCTGTTACTACACTTACTATATCTAGTTTAAAGCAAATCGTATGCCTTTTTCTCCCTATTGAATTTATAACATTAAGCTATATAATGAACCATTTAGACAATATGAGCACGCATATTAGAATTTAAATACAATTTTTCTTTGTAAATTTTCTGGAGATTGAAATGATCTATTATTGTTATTTTTAGAAATGCCTTGGTGATTGATAATAGTGCAAAACTAGAGTCACTCCCTCATTATTTAAGCTTTACATTTTTTTGCATGTGTTCATACAGCAAATTTATATGTTCACAAAGCTGCTCTTTAGGGTATTATTACACATTTACTGTCATATTGTTAGTAAATTTTTTATAAATGCATATATACCATATTTTCTTGCATTAGTTTCCTAGATATCAATGACCTTTTTAAAACCTTTTAGTTCTTCACTTTAATTATTTACCATCAGAACAAATAGATGTTTTCTTTAGTGAATGGTTTATATTTAACTCCCCACCTTGCAGTCTTCTATATTGCTCAAACTTTCTTATTAGTAGTTCATAACTCTTACTCTTTTCAGATCATAGTATCAATATCATTTGTTTTGCAAAGAGTTTTCTTCTTATATACAACTTGGTGTTTTACCTACTCTGTGGACTTCAAATCTTTCAAAACATATTTGTGAAATAGATGCTCCTCCTTCTCTCCCTCACTCTCTCCCTTCCTAAAAATATACACACAGACACAGAAATACACATTGTATTTGGTGATGAGCTCTGATATGGGTTGAATTGTCGCCTAGCCTCCTTTCTACCACCTCACCAAAAAAGAAAGATATTGAAGTGCTAACCTCTAAGACCTTAGAATGTGACCTTATTTGGGGTCTTTACAGAGTGCTCTAATTAAAATGAAGTCATTATGTTGGGCCTTAACCATTATATCTAGTGTTTTTATATAAAGGAGAAATTTGGATGCAGAGACAGTGTGCATAAAGAGAAAATGATGTGAAGAGACACAGAGAAATGATGGTCATCTACAAGCCAAGGAAAGAGGGCTAGAATAGGTCTATTCCTCACAGCCCTTAGAAGGAATCAATCCAGACACCTTAATTTCAAACTTCTAGCCTCTAGAAGTGAGATCATATATTTCTGCTACAAACAATCCAGTTTGTGGTGTTTTGTTATGGCAGCCCCACAAAACTAACACAAGGCACAATACAAATTTAAGAAAAGAAGAAACTGGCTAATTAGATCATTGCTTTGATACTTAGATATCCATACCTCGTCTTTTTCACTTCTGATAAAGAAAACTTAATTTTTACTTGCTAAAGCATTTATGTTCCTAGAATAAACTTTTAAAACTTGTTTTATATAACCATGATGTAGTGCCTGGAGACCCACATTTGACTGAAAAGAGCAACCAGAGCCATGTATAAGACATGAGAAACAAGGCTCACTTGTAACCTGTAAGTAGACCTCTCTTCCATCAGCTGTCATTAAGAAATGCAGTTGGTCTTAGATTCTCTCTCTCTCACTTGTTGGGAGGGGTGGGGCAGCGGGAAGAAAAAGGGTGTGGAGAGTGGGGTGTAAATAAGGCAGGCAGAAGCTCCAGAGGGTGAAGATAAGAGCTTCACCAAAGAAAAATAGATGAACCTGGTTGGTACACATAGCTTCCCCAGACCCACCCACCTACCCACCCTTTCCCGAGCTCTGTGCTCTGACAGTGGCGGTTGATGGCGAGTGGTGTGGAAGGGGCAGCTCCAGCAGCGGCTGCTTTGGGGGGAGAAACAAAATCTGCAGATAGGAATCGGAGCAGGGTGACTTCATCTTCAAGAGGGTGAGCTTTTCTGACCTCTCTGGCTAGCTCCGCTCCAGCCACGACCGGCTTGCGGCGGGGTCGCGAAGCGCCGGCTGGACCCGCCCCGAGCTCCATGGTTTGCCCAGCCCCACGAGATGGTGACTCTGGGCGCCGAGGTTGGCGCCCGGCGAGCCCGCCGCTCGCAGAATGAAGTCAGGGAGCGCGGCCGGCGGCGGGAGGGGACTGTCTCCGCGACCCCAGCTCCCGGAGAAGCCGCCCAACCGCCTGAACCCGGAAAAGGCCAACAAGTAGTTTCTCGTTGGAGATGGGCGGCTCGGCTGGGTGTCAGGACCCAGTCCAGCTGTCCGGAAAGCCTCGTCCACGCGGAAACCAAAGCAAAACCACTTTTGTCTCGGTCTTGTTAAGGTATCTGGGGGCGGGAGCGAAAGGGGGTGGTTTGCTGGGAAGGGCATGCTGACCCTGCAAGCGGGCACCCCCCCTCCCCACTCTGTTCCGTGGAGGTGAATTTTTTTTTTTTTTTTTTGAAACCTTGGGGAGAGGTAGTGGGAGACTGGAAACAAGAACGCCGTCAGCCAGGACTTCCAGCTCAGGGATCCAGGGGGTGTGCCTTCAGCAGCTTTTTTCCGGGGCCTCGCCCCTTCTAGAAAGCAACCCCCAACCCCTCATACCCGAGGGGTTTGTTTTTCTTGGAAAAGGGGGGAGGATGGGGTGGGATGCATTTATCACTTTTATTCTCAAAAATGGATCCTAGTTAGTCTTTTCCTTTCTCAAGTAATAATAATAATTAGCAACAACAACAACAACAATGTGAAAAGGAAATCGGATCAGGAAATTGGTCAGAGGTCTCCTTGGTGAAAAGCAACAGCAGGGAGATTTTTTGCTCTGACTTCTGCGTTGTCTTTTGCCTGGTCCGTGAGGGAGAGTAGAGGTGAACCGAGAACGGGTCGCTCAGAGGGCATGCCCTGAGTGCCAGGGAGCAGCGGGCTGTCCGGGGTTGACCGAGGGTACGCGTGTAATGAGGGCTCTCGGCCGAGTTCCGGGGGCTCTCTCCCAATACCTCCAAGTTGCACAGAGGAGAGAACTCCCTCCTTAAGGGAATTGCCTCCTGGCTAGGAGAGGAGGAGAGAGAGTTTAGGGGAGTGTTAGAAAGATCAGGACAGGGGCAGTGAATGGGGCGGGGGGTGGGGGGGGGGGAGAAAAAGGGTTTAGGAAGGAGAGATCAGAGATTGGGTTGGGGGGTGGGGGGCGAGGAGGATTAGGGGCTGGGAGCAGGTGAGACTAGAGAAAGAACTGAAGGAAGGGAGGGTGAGGGTGAAAAGATGAAGGAGAGGAGATCAGAGCAAAGGGAGAAAGTGTAAGGCAGGGGAGAAGGTGTCATGGAAGGTCAAGGAAGACGTGGACTGCTACCTCCTCGGTTCTCTGGAAACCTGGGAAAGGTGTGAGGCTTTAGGCAGGGACAGACTGTGCTCTGATTCCCCCTGGGAAGGTCGTTTGCCTCTTGCCTATTTGCCAACCCTGCATCTGGGGACTTTTGGGCTGAGAGTGGGGGTAGGGGTCATGGTACAGCTCTGACGATCCAGATCTTTAACTTGGCGCTGTGTTCGCCTCCCTCAGTCATGTCTGAGCCACAGAGATGGGCAAGATCGAGAACAACGAGAGGGTGATCCTCAATGTCGGGGGCACCCGGCATGAAACCTACCGCAGCACCCTCAAGACCCTGCCTGGGACGCGCCTGGCCCTGCTTGCAGCCTCAGAGCCCCAGGGTGACTGCCTGACTGCGGCGGGCGACAAGCCGCAGCCGTCGTCCCCCTCGCTCTCGCCGTCACCGCGACCGCCCCCACTGTCCCCCGGGCCGGGCGGCTGCTTCGAGGGCGGCGCGGGCAACTGCAGTTCCCACGGCGGTGGCGGCGGCGGCGGTGACCACCCCGGGGGCGGCCGCGAGTTCTTCTTCGACCGGCACCCAGGCGTCTTTGCCTATGTGCTCAACTACTACCGCACCGGCAAGCTGCACTGCCCCGCCGACGTGTGCGGGCCGCTGTTCGAGGAAGAGCTGGCTTTCTGGGGCATCGACGAGACCGACGTGGAGCCCTGCTGCTGGATGACCTACAGGCAGCACCGCGACGCCGAAGAGGCACTTGACATCTTCGAGACCCCCGACCTCATCGGCGGTGACCCTGGCGACGACGAGGACCTGGCGGCTAAGAGGTTGGGCATTGAGGACGCCGGGGGCCTGGGGATGCCCGACGGCAAGTCTGGCCGCTGGAGGAGGCTGCAGCCCCGCATGTGGGCCCTCTTCGAGGACCCCTACTCGTCCAGAGCCGCCAGGGTAAGGCCAGAATCGCCCCCTTCCCTGCTGCTCCAACTTCTCTCAACTCCTTCCCCAACTTGCTGTTTTCCATCAAGGGCCTTTGGGGTGGGGGACAGGAGAGAGGGGAGAGGAGAGCAGGGCTCCCTAACGTGAGATTAGAGGCCCATCCAGTGCAAAGTAAGCTCAGGGACTCTGGCCCCCATCCTCCCGCCCCTCTTGACCTCCCTCCTGGTCTCAACTCAAACGCAGGTTTACTTTAGCAGATGGGACCTAAAGGAGAAATGTCGACTTCTCTCAGCAAGTCTGTGTGGAACCTTGTCCTGAAATTGGTATCTCGCTTCATCTTGATTTTTTTTTTCTTTGTTGACTCTTTTGTTCCAACTTTTCCCTTAGCTCCCGTGTCTCTTCGGGCTTTCAAGTCATCATCCTTTGACATTTTCAGTAAGGCCTGACACTCCTTTACATCTGACTCACCCAGAGCAGTGGCTCCAACAAGGGGTCTAATCTGAGGACAGAGGCAGGGGAAATGGAATCTATGGACGTGGCTGGCCTATGGGAAAGGGTGTGTCAAAAGGTTCATTTTATGAAGAAAATCTTCTGTATGTTGTTTTGGGCCTGCTCTTTCCAAGGGAGAAAAATGCTGGGATTACTTGTACCAGTGAGTTGACCAGAAAGCCCACCTGCACATTGAATTTTGGAGGCTGGTGTCTTTTTCACCTTTTTTTTATAGGTTGAAAGTGAATTAGTCACTTTGGTGATTCAAGTTTCATTCGATTTTCTAAATCTGGGTTATTTAGATTCTAACAAACTGTATTTTACTGTTTAGATTGTGATCCTCATCCTTAATTTTTCTTTTCAGTTTCTAAGCTTGAGTGACAGCTTAAATTTAGTCCTTGATATTCCCAATTGATTCTTCAAAATCCCATGAAGGGACTATAAAAGTAACCAATAATGGTTTCTCTAGTTTAAAGGAAACAAAAGACATATAAATAACCAAAAATTATGTAGTATGTGAATGATTTTTAATTATATGTGAGAACAGAATACTGTATTTAGTTAAATCTTTAAGATTGCACATGTCTGCTTTGCTTCTGAGACCCAGAAAAGATACCCCCTAGGCACAATGAGATTTCTTCTCCCAGCTTCACTTTGACTCCATTCTCAGTATTGTCTTTGCTTGTTAGAAGTCTTTACATCTGAGATATTGTGTAGCTGTCTGTCTACTAACTTGTCAGACGATGTGCTTCTGATAGTACTTTAGAAGTCTGAGGGTATATTTTGTTTTCAGTGTGAAATAGAATATGAAGGAGATAATTTAAAGCGTCGCTACCCTACTGGATCCAGTATTTAAATGAATACATAAATTCTAGTATGTCCACATTCTCATATTTGAATATACAGTTCATAACTTCAACTCTGAAATCTTCCTTTTAAGACAATTCTATAAATTTGCCAAGAGTTGGTATTCAGAAAATAAAATCATAAAAACCAAATAACTGCATATTTATTTAAATTAAATCTCAGACTTATGACCATTACAACTGTGGTTTTTTTGGATTCCAACTGAATGCCAGCTCCAGTGCTCTTTCCATTTGGTGGTTAAAAAGATAATCTGAGTTTGTTTTCAGACTCATCATGTGACTTTTTTCCTCCCAGATAATGTGCTATAAAAAAGAATGTTTTATTATCTTTCCTCGTGATAATATAATACATTTTACTGTAGGACAGATTGCATAGCAAAAACTTTAATAAGAAAGTGTTCAGTTTTTATTATTGCTATGGAAATTTATTCAATTGATTATTGGTCAAAGGGCAGACCATTAACTTGAAAATAGTTTTTTAAAAATCTTACTAAGATTTCATTATATCGATATTAAGTATTTGGCCTACAACCACTTTAGATGAGGAAAGAACACAGGTTAGAGATTAACACAAGATCAAAGAGCCATTAGCCGCAGAATCAGCCGAGAATCATAGATATAGAAATGTCTTTAAATTCACCTTGTGAAGACCCTTTATTTTGTAGATGAGGAGAATGAAGACTGCAGATGTTAAGTGATGGCCAAGGTCACACAGCAAGTTAAGAGCAGAGCCAAAATTATGCTGGAGGTCTCATGACATCCTTCCCAGGCCCTTTCTACCACAACCACTGATTATAACTGACTGGTTTGTGAAATCTCTGTAAATTGTGCTGCTCTTGAGAGTTAATGCAACCTAAGATATTCACTAACATTCTAATTTTGCAAGGTCATCTGTGACTTTTTTAATATATGTATTTCAGGACTTTGGCTGGTAGAATTTTCACCCTGAACCACCCAACATTAGAGTAAAAATATGGGATTGAAATTAACTTCTTTAAACGAACACTGTTTGAACTTCCCATTTTTTGTTGACCTTGATAGGTAATGTTATGCTTTCTTTCAGATTGGCTTATATTTATGGGACTTTTCTTTAGAGAAATCCCTTTTTCAAATTACTGGGTTTACCTAAAAAAAAAAAAGGTAATCAATCAGAAGTCACCATTTTATTTAAATGTGATTTAGTGCTTTTTATATGAACACTTTTAGTTCAAGTGATGGTCTGACAATATTGTCTGACTAGGTTGGTAAATAGAATTCCATTGAAAGATTGCTGAATGAAATTATATTTTGCATGGAAATGATTCTAGGAGACATAAAGCTATTATCAAGTGGTTTGCTTCAACTACGGTCTTACTGCCTGCCATAAGTCTCATTCTTGATAGAAGTTAAGTATTTAACTTTTGTAAACACTCTTTTTTATTAGTTCATCTTTTATTAATATATTTGAACAATTTAACTGTCTGAATTCCTTTTTCAATTTGTTATACCTGTTTCATCATTTTTATCCTAAATTGAGGATATTGGTTCAGTTATATAATAGATGTGCTTTATTTCTAATTTTTATGATCTGAACTGGCAGATTGAAACAACAGTGATAGCAACTGGATAATTAATTGAATTTTACAGCATTATCCTTTTGCCTTTGTTTTGATTGACATTTCACCCTCTATTATTTTTAATTTATGATGTAAATACATATTTGAGAAGTCTAAATTTTCCTGTTAATTTGATAAATAAGTTTATATTTTATACTTATGAATTCTTATCCTTAAGAATAGTATTCAAAAATAGAAATTTATAAAATTCAAAAATAAGTTGTCATGGAAACCTGTCGTGGAGAAAATGAGATCAGGGAAGAAAAGGAGAGATTATTCTGTTGATGCCATTGAGTGATATTTACAAATAGTGAAAAGCGAGGATGCGTAGATGTACTGTGAAAATGTTATGCATAGTGGATTTTCAATTGAATATCTAAGTTTTAGAAAGAAATGAAGCTTTTATGTACTTTCCTCTGAAGACATTATATCATAGGTAAGTGGACAAGAACCAGGAAGAAATTCTTTGATAGAACTTCTGGATTTGTTAGAAGTTAAAAAAAATAGTATAAAGGCAAAATATTAGAATCAAAATATTTTAAATAATTTCTTTCCAATATTAAAGAGCTAAAAGCAGTTATTAGTTTCTCTTTCTTCTTTTCACTTATTTTTGGGGGGAGGAGAGAGGCATTTAAATTAGTTTCTGTTTTAGAGTGTGGCTCTTCCTTGGCAACGTGATCTTTGATTACCTGATAGACCATTTTTTCCACTTTAAAAGGACGGTTTAGAAAAGAAAACCAAAAGTAGAACTGCCATGGAATCACACTGAAGATGTTGTTTTTTACTGTGGGTCTAGATCATTTCGTGTATGTTCTCTTTTATCTAGTATACCATTATGTGCAGATCATCTTGTATACATGGATTCTGATAGTGAATCTATCATTTTTTAAATCATGAAAATATTCACTTTAAATTGTTTTATTTCTACAACTTTAGTCTTTAAAACTACTAAAATTTAAATTTTGATATCTAGATTTCAATTCAGAATTGCACATATTTAATTTACTCTTTATGGGCCATTTTCTTCTCTTCCTCAAACCACAAAACAAGAAGGAAATGATCTAAGTAATTAGTGGCTAGCTGTAAATGTAATATTTAGTTAAAAAAATGTAATAAGGTGAGAACAATTTGAGTCATATATTAAGATAAAAGAATGTATTTCTTGTTTTATAAGTATTGCCCCAGTTAAAAGAATTAATGGTTAAATATATCTTGTTCATAAAATGTTGTCAATTATTAAAATTTTTAGAACATTTATTTATTCACTGAGTATTGATTATGCAGTCACTCCAGACCAGAAACTGGAAATGCATGGAGAAGATATAGTTCTTTGCTTTAATAAGTTCAGCACTCAGTTAAAATAAAAAAATTCTTAAAGACATTATCTATTAGAGTTTAAAAAATTCAAAAAAATAAACAATTCTAGTCATATTAAAGATAAGTTTTCCTTAAAAAAAGCTCACATGGAAATATTGCCTGATGCATGCAGGAAACATTCCATTTAAAATGACGATGTTAAGGTATTATTAGTCTTCATTTTATTATGAAAGTGTTAGACTGTTTCGATCTTGATTGTTCTTATTTCAAAGTGACTTACAGACGTTCTCTTTGCTATATTATTGGAAAATGTGATGAAGGCTATACTTATACAAAACAACTGGATTTTGGGGGATGTGGTCAGGTGTCTTCATGCCTTTCATATCAATTAAAACTCATGATCAACCAGATAACAATGTAAATCCAGCCTTCAGACCCTTGAAAAGAATCTGCTGTAATAGTCTGGTGTGTTTGCATTTGCCATATAAGCACCTAAGTGTCTGACCTTTCCAGGCCACTAAGCTTATAGTTCACAAATATATTTAACTTTGTGCTTATATTCTGAGCATCGGATAGGATCAGAGAGTACTTAATTCTATAATCATTAAAAGAAACAAATGACTTCAATAATCAATTGTATTTTCAGTGGTATATTCGATCACAAACTAGATAACCTGATCCATTGCTGGGCACTAGGTATACCAAAGGTGAATGCCATTGGACAGATAAAGTCTGATTTTATTTT